TGGACACAATATTGATAATTATAAAGACATAACTTGGTCTTGTTTGCTTCTGAAGTAGCACCAATAATTTAAAACCATTCCTCCTTCTTTTACTCCATTTGCCAGCGGTGCAGCTTCAGTGTAAAAAAAAAAAAAACACCCACAAGATCTATAAATGTGCAGATTCTCCATCATCACTGTAATCCCAGGAGCTTCAGTGGAAACCAACTGGACTTCTCTTGTGGACTTCTCCAAGAGGGTTCTTCAGTTCTAACCAGCTAGAACCGATAAAAGTACCGCTGAAGTACTGGATTATTAAGCAGCATCTGTAATGGTAGTACAAGTGTTTGTATGAGTTTCCTGGTTGGATCTCGTCTGAGGAACCTGAGGAACCGGCACCGCCCTTATTTTGAAAAACGTGTATCAGGGTTCGAATGGAGCGATCCAGGAAAGATGAGGGGAGAAAAAAAACGACAGCCAGACAGTGCTGAAGGAGAAGCAGCAGATGGTTGGGTTAGAGAAGGAGGACACGAGAAAGGATGGAGAGACGACTCAGGTGTGATCACGAGGTTCCTCCCAAACACCAACGTGAGCTCGACTCCTCCAGGTGAGGAAACAAAAACCTGCAAGTAAACAGTAAATTTAAACTCCCCCTCGCTTTGAAGCGTCGAGTCGGGGAGGAATTAGAGAAGGTGAACAGCTGTCAGTGGGTGAGGTGGTAGAAATAGGAAAAATAATGAACGTGGGCTGGAATGACTGGCATGAATTGATTAATAAGATCAGTAATTGAGGAGGACGTTTCTGCAGCCTGACTTCAAGTATGATCCAACAAACTGGATCAGACGTGAACGGATTACTTCAGGAAGCAAATGTTACGTGAAATATATATATTCCCTCTATTTTACTNGAAAAAGTATATTTTTAACATAATATTGCAGATTCTGGATCAGTGCTGCTGTATTAGAAATACTAGTGAACATGTCCGGCTTTTATCTTCAACAGTTTCTGAGATGTTGCCGTTCAAACTGACTCAAACTTCGATTTGCCCAAAAAGACGAACTGAAAATCTCGGAAAGTTTAAGATATCTCAATCTAATATTCCACAGACACCATTTCAGGTATGGATAGCTCAGGATGAATAAAGTTTGAAGCAAGTCAGAGATGGAACAGAACAGAGGAGCTCTGATGATTTTTAACAGAACAACCTGAATGTGTTTGACACAAAGGAGCATTTCATCAGAAACACAAGCCGAAGCCCCGACAGACGTGTTGAGGGAACATCTGTTGGTGTTTTCAATAATCTGGACGGTTTGATTCACACGTCCGTTAAAAACAGGGGAAACTTCTTTAATTATGGACATTCTGCTAAAGTTAATGAATTCTGTTATCTGGATTTCACTCCGACCGCGGTTCAGAATCGGCACTTGCTGAACATGTAAACACGTCCGACACTTTGAAGCACAGCTTGACCGTAATTCAATTAACTCAGAGATAAAAATGTTGAGAAAGCTTTGAAACAATCAGAAGCTTCACTGACATCGTGCTGCAGCAGGACAGCAACATTTCAGAGGCACGAGCCGAGAAACACGCAAAACAAAAAGAAAAAAAAGATTTTAAAGCCTAACAGGTGTGTGAAAAGCTTTTCTTAGTATTAGAATAGATCAGAAATACTTTATTAATCC